TTTAATCTGCTGAGCTATTTGACTGGCCCCCACTCTTTTTTTTTAATTTCCCAGACTTTTTCCTTTTTTTTTTTTTTTGAGACAAGAGTATCGCTGTGTAGTTCAGTTCAGGTTGGCTTGAAATCACTCTGTAGCCCAGGGTAGCCGTGAACTTATGGCCATCCTCATGCTTCAGCCTGCCAAATGCTTTTGTTAGGGGTGCACACACACACACATGCACTACCAGGCACTGAACCCAAATACTGCTGAGCTACACATCCCAAGCCTTTATTTGGAGGTGCAGTATTGCTAAATTGCCAGGGCTGACCTTGAATTTGCAATTCTCTTGCTTCTGCCTCCAGAAAATCTGGGATTAACAAGTTTGCAACTGCTTGCTTGGCTTCAATTCTTTTTGGTCACAGTTTTGCAAGATAGTAATTTTTTTTTTTTTTTTTTTTTTTTTAACCGGGGATTGAACTTAGGCCCTTGCACTTGCCAGGCAAGTGCCTACTCTACTGAGCTATCTCCCTGGCCCTGCAAGATAGTAATTTTAAACCTTTTGTTTTTTTGGTACTGGGAATCGAACTCAGGATATTGCGCTTACCAAACATGTACTTGTGCCACTGAGCTATATTCCTACCCTTAAACATTTTATTAAAGCAGTTAGTATCACTGCCCCACCGTCTGGAATTTGGAAATATACCCCTGAATACTTGGGATGAGACTATTATTGTTTTGATTGCACTCCAGAATTTTAATTATAACATGTACATATAATTACACATTTCCCTATTTCCATGTAAGTTATTCAGACTTATTTTCTTCAAATAGTTGGAAGAGAATAAATTCCTGTTGAAAAAGGATACACCAGCTTTTGGGAGAGACGGATCACTCCACTGGATGGGCCCCCCAGAATCCAGAACACTCACTGGCCAGCAGGCCCTTGTGGTAGGGTGAGCCCACAGTGCCTAAGATAGTCTCACGGAACAAAGCTCTGCATTGTAGCCTTTGGTAACTCATGACTGAAGCATTAATTTTAAAAAGAGCAATTTTGTTCTGAGAACGATACCCCTTGGAGCTGCCCGCACCCCACACCTTGAGCGGCCAGAAGCCAGAGGATGAGCCCAGGGCAGACTCCACTGGTGCGGAGTCTTGGTGGCAGCGGCAGTGGCAGGGGTGGCGGCTCTGGAGGAAGAAGTGCGACCTGAGAATGAAAAAGGAAAAGCGATCCTTTCTGCAGCTGATGGTGTAATTGCTTTTTGATGCTAATATCTCTGGAAGAAACTCCACTGCCCAGGGAGTTTCAAACCCTGCTGTTCCTAATCTTCAGTCCTCTTCTGATCACTTTAGAACCAGGACTTCCAGGCTGTGCTGCTAATAGGTGACCAAGAACAGCCAAAACGGTCACAATCAAGGAATTCATGTCAAATATGATCCTGCCAAGTCACACGATTGAAAGTATGAACTTTTCCTCTGCAAACACCCCTCTGATGTTTCAGGTACTGGCTTTATGGTACGGCTCATTAAAGTCAAGTTTGTGATGCACCATGGAAGGCTCACAGCACAACTTCATTTGTGTGATGTGTTTACTGAATCTCCTCTGAATTTCCACAGCCATAAAATATTCCTGACTTTTCTCCCATTACTTCTGTTATTCGCTGCAACAGATTCTCTCATTGCTTGGATTGTGATGTATAATTGTAAACTGCGGAGAAACACGAAGTGTACAGAAGGTTCCACAAGTCTCAATACTGTTTAAAATAGAAGCCTGTTAACATGGAAAATATCAAAGTGAATACCAAAAAAAAAAAGATAGCCCTTGGAGACCTTTGCAGTATTTAGTTTCATACTCAATTGACACTTAGTTCTCCAGGTAACTTGGTAATCAATATGCTCTACCTAAAATCCACAGAATCAGTTTAACTAAGTTGTATACTTGGATTTCTCCTGAAGCCAGTTTGACAAAACGTCTGTATGGAGATCTGAGATGAATTTTCAAGCCCTTTTAAAACTGTTGTTGGCTATGAAATGCCAGAATAAGCCCAAAAAGGCAAGATCTTGTCAGGTGTTGAGACAGACATGAAAACAGTGGTATTGTGATTAAATAAGTTTTTATTGTCACATTTAACTGCTTTGTCAGATATACATT